TTTGCTGTTTCAGAGCTGTTTCTTTTACACTGCTGAGCTAACCGCTATATCATCAGCATCGCCACATGGGGAAGCCTTTAAGACCTGTGCATAGTACCTTGAAAAGCTTAATGTTTAAGATATTGGAAAGAAAGGACAATAACAACATAGGCATATTTTAGTTTTGCCCAGCAGGGACTAGCTTTCTGAAAACCCACACTGGCTCTTTGAAGTATTTACAATATTTTTTATCTATGTTTAAATAATATCTGGGCACACAGCAGCTCCCAGCATGTTCTTTGGCAGCTAATATGTTGGTTAAATACAGGCTGGGTGGTTCACATAAATCAGAGACCATTTTGGGGGCTTTGAAAATCTTGCTGAAGCTGCATCCTTGTCCTTTAACTTTAATCTTGCTGCCTTAATTAGTCATGTCAACAGTACTACTGTGCCCTAAAGAAGAAATTCCCAAAAAAGTTTGGAAGGGTATAGTAAAGCTTTATGTGTATTTTCTCATCTTATTAACAGACCTGGACTTTGACTAGAGAGCCTTGGATTCATAGTCCCTGTGACGAAACGGGGACCCGCCCTCAGCCCTGGGAGACTGAATAAGTCGTTCTGCGGCTCGCAACTCCCTGTTCTGCGGCTATTTCCTTCCTCTGTCGCTGCCACCACTCACTGAATGGACACCGCCTTCTTAGAGGGACAGTGAGACCCCTCTGGCTGATTTCCCAACCCAGGAAAGCGGATATCTCAATCTTTGGGCACCCCCTGGAGAGTTGGCAACCCCTCCAATTTGGGCTCGCTTGAGTTCCCTGGCCTCCCTTTGCCTCTGGTAATGTGCTGAGTGGGGAGGACTATGTGGGCAAGGCACTACCAGGCTTTATAATTCCAAAAAGAAGATTTATTTAAACTATGTACAAGTTAGGCACAGAAAATAAACACAGGTACATCAACTCAACCTGGGCAGAAAATAAACACGATCTAAATGCAATTCTCTGTCCCCTACACACACCCTCTCTACCTCTATAGTAGGTGGCTGCAGGCCAGGATTTGCTTTTCCCCTCCTATTGTTTGGAGAGACCCTTCACTGGACTGGTCACCAGTACTGCTAACCCTCCTGCGCTGTCCGCCATGATTTATAGTGGCCTGGACTGACCACTGAGTGTTGGTAGCAGGAGTCCCACCTGTACGCACCCCTTGAAGCTGCTGTTCAAGCTCAGGCAAAGGACAAGACTGGGCTGAGACTAAAAACTCCCCTCAGGGGTCAAAGCCTTTATTTGGCTGGCTCCATCCCTGGGGTGGGTCCCTACTTTCCTGCTTCCCCCCCCTAAAGCTGCTGGGAAATGTAGGCTGGGAGGTATGGCAGCCCCATTGTTCCCTATGGAGCACCTCCCCCCTCCAGAGAACTACCAGACTCGCAGCCATTTTAAGGTACCGCTGCCTTGACCTGGCAGCCATTTCATTACAGTCCCATTCAACCATGAAGTTCACTGCAGCTGCTTCCACATGGAAGTTTTTTACCACCTCGTTTTACAAACTGGAGTGCTTTTTTTTGGAGCTTCCAGAAGATGCCATGCTGTAATAATCTCATTTCCAGGTTTTCCATGTCCTTAACATGTTCTTTCCAATACCTGTTCTGTCTGATCGTTTGGGAAAGAATGCAGTCCAAGCTAGGGTTGCTGGGCTGATCAACTGGTGGGAAGGTTGGGGGGGGCAGCATCATGAGTGGTGGCTCTAGGAATTGGTGGAAACTCTATGGTAAAACTGTAGCGTTTCCATGATTCCTAGAGCCAATGCTGCCACGTCTAGGAAACTCTATGGTAAAACTGTAGCGTTTTCATGATTCCTAGTGCTAACATTTTCCCTGGAAGTGATGTCATCATGCTTGCAATGTCAGTGAGTGTTTTTATTCCCCCCCCCAATGCAATGGGAACTTGAGGCAGGGGATTCCTGAGGGTTTGGGAGTCTTAGTCCAAGCATAGTACATCGTCTGGAAGTAATGGTGCAGATTTCCCTTCTCTGCAAAGGTCCTGCCCACAATGGTGCTATTCCCTCACCATAAGCCCTTTTCAGGCATCATTTCCCCAGCTTGCAATATAGGCCAGGTCCTTCACTTAATTAGAATGTGTTCCCACAGTCCTTTGCAATAGTGCAAGAGACTCAAGGCAGGGCCCAACCAGATTGCAGGCAAGGCATGTAGCCTTCGACCTAGCCAGTTTCTACATGAAATGAAGCAAGCACAACACACACTCCTTCTGCCCCTCATCAGCCTTTGCTCTGCCTCCTCCAAGACAGTTAAGGGAGCTTCCTTGGCCAACGGCCCCCCAAAATCTGCAACGCTATCCTTGGTGGCTTTCCCATTGGCATGAAACTCCTTCCTCTTGGAAACTGGCCTGTGTCCAAACCCCAAACAAAATGTAATAAAATGTAATAATAAAATTAATTAAGGTGAAAAATGTCTATATTTTGGCTGGCTTTTGGGGACCCAGTCCTCCAAGTGTAAGGCAAGAAAATGGAACACAGATTTTAAAAAAACAACGAATCTAGCAATGATGGAACTGTTGCTCATCCAATTAATACAGGTCTGTTTATTCTAACAGTGACTATCAGTCATCTGTCTATTGGGATACAAACAATAAAAACAGTTTCTTGCTAATCGCATGAGAATGTGAGTGCTGATTAACAAGAATGCTCTCTGTGTACATGCACACATGTTTGTCACTAGCTTATACAAATAGTACAACTCCTATAAACATTCTTATTTATGAATGTGTTCCTCTTTGTTCAGAACAAACTGCAGAATTAAAACTAGGGATGCTTGAATACCAACCAGTTTGACTCATGTCCTGTTTGCCAGTTGCAAACAGGGAGCCAATTTTTGGATGGACTGTTTGTTCGTGGATGTTTGGCAGGTTATTTCATTTTGTTCCTTCCTAACAGTTCAGTACACCACCATCGGCATCTCATGCATGCACATTCTCAAACAGCCTGGTTGAGTTCTGCTCCCCTTTATCTTTGCTCCCCTTTATCCTTGTTGCACTGCTGCTCTGCTTGGCAGGCAATGGCTCAAACAGACAGGTAAATAAGCCACAAGCCACATAAATCTATTTTACATATAATGTTTTTTTTAATCCAGCTGTTTGGTGTTTGTATAAGTAATTCTTAGTGATGTTAAAGGCTGCTGATATGTTTTGATCAGCACCGTTTTCACACATCCACAGTTTTGAAAAACCCTCTTGTATACCTTGGCAGGCATTCAAATCATTTGATGCCAAACCAAACAGATCCGGTGATTGGGCCACATCTGACCATTGCAGTCTAACATGATAAATTAGACTGCAGAACAAATTCAGCACAAAATCTGCAGTGTCCCTAGTTAGAACTTAAGTACGTGGTTAGTAGGCATGCCAACACCTAGCCTATGGGGAAAACAAAATAACACCTAGCCTATGGTTAACTGACCATGTGTGAGCACTAGCACAAGTTGCAGCTTTTGGAGTTTGTGAAGCATGTTCCTTGAAAACACTTTGCTTACAAAAGCTTCACCTGTAGCAAAGCAGACTGGGAGGCCAGTTACTGCACTGGCATCTCCCTTCTACCAAACCTAGGGTTGCCAGGTCCCCCCTGGCTGCTGGCAGGGGACAGAGGGTTAGGATTGGCAGGTCCAGGTTGGGAGACTCCTGGAGATTTGATGATGGAGCCTGTGGAGCACAGGAACCTCAGTGGAGTACAATGCCATTGAGTTCACCCTCCAAAACATCCATTTTCTCCAGGAGAACTGATCTCTGTAGTCTGGAGATGAGCTGTAATTCCAGAGGATCCCCAGGTCCCACCTGGAGGCTGGCACCCCTAAATCTGCCTAGCTCGAGCAGTGAAAGTTGGAATTCCAAGATTGCTGTCATACAGGAATGTCCCCCTTTTATATCCCTCATCCAGTCCTGCCTCCTTGACCACCGAGTAAGCCTACCCCGTGACATTTCTGTAAGTCAGCTGATTGTTTTACTGTTGGGTGTGCAGTTCTTTACCCCCCTTAAGGAATTATAATGTATCATCATCGTCATCGTCAATCGCCCTATCCCAGCTTATGCTGGGCTCTAGGCAATGTACTGGATATAAAGTCACAGAATACAAAACATTAAAATTCATATATAACTTAATAAAAATTTCAGTGTAGAGAAAAGATCCGATATGGAGATTTTTCTATAATATTATTTATCCCAATTCCAGACTACCAGTGCCTTTTTCTGGGCGGGCGGGCTATTTAAAATGACGGGGGGAAGTTGAGTGTTGGACAAAAGAACTATGTATGGAGCTTCACTCATGGAACAGATCTTTTTCCCTCCTCTTGTATTTTGCAGTTTCCTGTTCCACCTGAAAAATGGATTGAACTTAAGAACCACAAGTGTGTTGCTCCTCTGGAATCAAGGATATAGATAGGGTTGCCAAATGGGACCGGGGGGCGGGGAATCCCCCGCTTTGGAGGCCCAATTTCCACCTTGGTGGAATCGGGCCCCGGGGGGCGTGGCCGAGATCATCGGGGGGAACCATATGGTTTTTCCCCCGACGATCTGGGCCACGTCCCCAATGTGAGTGACATAGCACGTCACTTCCTGTGATGTGGTGGTGGTGCATGCACACACACGTCCTGGGAGAGCTCCCAGAGTCCAGCAAGGCTCCCCCGCCGGCAAGGGTAAGTACACTTGGCAACCCTAAGTTTACGCTAGGAAAATAATTTCAAGTGGGTAACCGTGTTAGTATGTAGTAGTAGAAGGAGATTCAAATTCAGTAGAAATCAAAGAGCAGCAAAATTTTCCAGCGTATAAGCTTTCATGAGTCAAAGTTCACTTTGTCAGATACCACAGAAAGATTAACATTGCAAGAATACCTATTACAATGATATCCGCACACAAGTATTAAAAAGAGTCAGGAATCTTGATTTCTGCTTTGTCTAGCAAAATACTACTACCCTACGTCCATCTCCCCATATTGCATAACTAAAAAAAAAAAAGCATACTTACAGAATTTCTATTTTCCCCAGCATCTGAAAATTACAAAATATAGTTTAGGAATAGAAATAGTTTCCAAAAAAGTCATCTTAATATGTAAATATGTAGAAATGTACAAGTAAAAACTAGCTCTGTGAGCCATTTTATGTGAGCTGCTTTCAGGATCTCATAATTACGGTTGCACTATACTGATTTCAAAGATCAAGGTGATATTTCCCCATCCAAAGCTCAGACATGTTCTTACTTCCAATTTCTGCAATGATACAGTGGGAAATCCTTAAGCGCCTTTTGTCTTTTGGTATTAATCTTAACTTTGGGGAAATTTTCAGTGTCCTTGGGGGGGGGGGTCAATGGTATGTGCACTTATGAGGAAATGAATATCTTTGAATGAAGCAGGACATCCTTTGAAATAGATATGAATCGTTTTTGAAAATATGCATAGGTTTTTAATACAGCAGTTTTAAGGCCAGTCTGAAAGCTGCTTAGGATAGAAACTATAAGCCCTCTGCTGGCATAATATGGAGATATGTCAGAAATAACTTATTGCCAGCATAGTGTCCTCTGATGCCATGCTAGTATACACTCAGGGCAGGCACAGCTCCATCAGCATAAGGGCCAGAAACAGGCATCACCAAGGGCATGCTTGAGGAGGAGCGGGACGTACAATGCAATCCTATGCAAGGTTAAAAGTAAAGGTAAAGGTTTCCCTTGCTCGAAAGCCAGTTGAATTAAGGGCAGGCACAGCTCCATCAGCATAAGGGCCAGAAACAGGCATCACCAAGGGCATGCTTGAGGAGGAGCGGGACGTACAATGCAATCCTATGCAAGGTTAAAAGTAAAGGTAAAGGTTTCCCTTGCTCGAAAGCCAGTTGAATTCGACTCTAGGGTGTGGTGCTCATCTCCGTTTCCAAGCCGAAGAGCCAGTGCTGTCCGAAGACGTTGCCATGGTCATGTGGCCAGCATGACTAGATGCCAAGGTGCATGGAACACCTTCCCACTGAAGCAG